GGGGGGACTCCTTCAAGTAAGAGCTGTAGTAGATATGTGTAGGTTGGTGCTTGGAAAAAAAATAGCACCTGACTCACACATTGTAAGATCAAATATACTTGTATAGTCAGTTGTTTACCAGAAGAGTATCAGAATAGTAGGACCAAGGTGAAGAAAGGACCCTGCCTTAGCAGGCCGTCCACGTGGCAGTTCTCCAATCCGCCTGGTCACGGTCGGTGCCTTCTGTCTCAGCACCGACGACCGGTGCCAGGAATGACGTGAAGATGAGAAATGCGCGGACGCCCAAAACTGGTCCAGCCGCTGGTGGTGTCCTGGTCAGCCTGGCCATGCCCTAGAAATAAAGACCCAAACAGCGCAAACAGTTCCATTTTGGTCCAGTGATTTGTTTGGCTAAGATGGAACTGTTTTGGGTGATCTGTTGACTTGGGTCAAACGATTTGTCTTTGGTGATCTATATACTAAAGTCACTTGAAGCAACCCTCACAGGTGATCTGTTTGGGTATTCAGGTGCCTGGTTTATCCGGATCATGCTACCAGCTGCCAGCTTGCCCAGATCATGGAGATGACGCTGCCAGCTTGACCGTTTTCAGCGAGCGATGGAAGATTGACCCCGAGATGTGTGAGACAGGTGGGTCAAGAGATGTCGGGGCCTTTGTTCACCCCAAGCCAGTGTAGAGGCTTTGAGGGTTGGGGTAAAGTGGACCTGGAGCAAAGAGGACCCCAATAGTTTATAGGTGCGGTTTTTGCATCTTCTTGGTTTAGATTACATCGATCTTTTTGGTATTTAGGGGAGAGTAGATGCCATTTCTACCCGGTACGTGGTTGCCATGATCACGGTCGCCTCATGTCTCAGTTAAATCCCCTCAATCTTTACCGGATTTCAAGACCCGCGGTATGTCCCTAGCCAGGGGTCCCGTTTTTGTCCCTGTGATTCTTTCTTTGGAACATCTAGCAGGCCTTCCTTTGCTGGATCAGCTGGGCTCGAAACATCTGCTCACCTAGAGCGCTCCAAGGCACAGACCACCTCCATTTTGATCTCCATCGTGCTAGTGGTGGTGCTCGGGCCCTCGGCCGAACTCGCCTCGCCAGGCGGTGCGGGACGGACACGGCGTCCTCAATGGAACTGAAGGAATGCGCTGTCTTCGCCTGAAATAGACCTGGCAGCCTGATGCCTTGTTTTCAGCTTGGACATGGTTTTGAGATCATCCTAGAAATGGTTTTGAAATAATTTCCTTTGCTACATGTAGTAATTAATCTAAAAAGGGGTGTGTTAAGATCAACTGTTCCATTTTATATGAAGCATGTATCATTGTGAACACAATAACATGGGTGCTTATATAGAATGGCAAGAACAACCTCTGAATTTGTACAAACATATTGATTCAGCCTATGTGCAAGCAACATCAAGATAGGTAAAGCCCATCTTATATTTGGAGGTGGTGAACCAACAGCTTCATTCAGTTTCAAAAGAAAGAACACATGGATCATTGGATCATCAAGAATGGAAAGAACACATCATAATACGTCATGAAGACACATATATTATATAACAAACATATCAAGGACACTGCAACACTGGCATTTTTTCCCCAGCATATCATATGTATCTTGAATCTTGGTGCAAGAAGAGCTTCAAGTACTCCAGCTAACTGCGTTCTGGATGCCTTTGCTGCTAGGACAACCTTTGCCTTGCCCTTTCTAGAAGTAAGAAGGGGCAAATATGAACTATCTGGTCCTGATTTCTGATTCAACAAGAGGGGCAGGGACAGGCGACCTCTGTTTTTGTGTAATTCGTCCAGGAAGTATCACTACCCTTGAGCTGGCTTGCAAGTGGACCTGGCGGCAGGTGTCCATATCTCAAATCTTTGTGGACCACTCTTGAAGAGCAGCAACGCATGAGCAAGAAAAGACACGATTTGATTTGCCGACATGCCTCACATTGGCAACCCATGACCACTTGGCAGAAGAGAACCTTCTGAGATCAGAAGAAGAGATGCAGAGCAGCAGAGAAGCTCTTCACAGACTTCACAGGTGATGACTTGGAAACAGGGCTTCTCGAAATATGCAAAAGGAATCAAGAAGGCACATCATCGAACTGCGACAAAACGCGATCGCAGAGAATGTTCCAGGAGCTGCTTTCCCACAACGTCAGATGGCTGCTCTCCCCCAAATTCAGCTTTGCGCCTTGGAGCGGATGGCCGCCCGCACCGTGACGGTGCGGCGAAACGCGGTGGCCACCACGACCACGACGGCCCTTTTCGACGACCGGCGCGGGACCCAGGTTCAGCTTTATGCCCCTCATGGACCTGGCCGCCCACATCGGTGGCCTCATCATGGGCGTCGGTGCGGGCCGTCGATTCCGGCGCTTTCCGCGTGGAGGAGCGGCAGGAGGGGACCCAGCGCCGGGGGTTTTTGGTTGGACCGGAAATAGAGCTGACCCGGGTGACCCCTGACAACTGCACTGAAGCGGGGCTTGTTGGGAAGGTTGAACATGTTTGGTTGGTGATGGTTGGTGAAGAAAAGATTAGTGTGGGGTTGAATAGGGAGACACTCAGGGACACCCAATCGAAGGATTCAAAGTTTCTGCTCGATGTTTTCTTCCCAGGGGTCTTTGGGAGGTCTCCCTATTTTAATGCACAGTTCTTCATCACAGAGTGCCGGCAAGTAATTAGTGAGGGTTCAAGGGCCTTACACAAGCACCTAATCTACCAGCCAAAGGCTGGATTTCTCCGGCCAGAAGTGTTCAATCTGTACTCACTGGACCTATCCCACCCTTCAAAGCCCTTGGCTCAATTCCCACATGGTGCAGAAGATGCAAGGGTTTGCCAAGAGTACTTCTAGCGGTATTTAAGCCACCAGCTCCGCAATTGTACAAATTACACTACAAATTACATTAAACAACATCTATATACTTGTATGAATTATATTATGTATACTCCATCAGGTCTCCACCAAATACGCACCAACGGAGAAGAGACAAGTCCTTCATAGCAACCAACGCCTGAACACACACGAACAGCTGCTGAACAATTCCAGATACCCCGGTCGGACTGCAAACTGCAACCGTACAGGTCCAGTCCGACCCAGGTCCAAACCTGGTCTTCTACATCATTGAGTATAGTGTTTGTGTATGATCAACTCTAGAAAAAGATTGAGGTCACACTGACCTGTAATTAGGGTAAGATATTTGATCTATAAGCCACCCCATTGACCCTGAAATCCACCACCCCCCGATTCGGCCTTCGCCGGCGGGCTTCTTCGCCCTGGTGCCGCGAGGTGTCACCATGACGCTCTTCGGCAACAGGCGTGCACTCCCAAACGACGGAAGAGCGGGGGGCCATGTGTCGGACTGTTATTCGCCCGTTCGTCGTCTTTGAACAACCGTGTTGGCCGGTGTGCCTTGAGATGCCATGATGCTTCTTTACCCAACAGCATCCAAGATCGATTTGGTATCCAATTATTCATCCAACATATGTGGGTGTGGAATTCTCAAGCGATTTTGCGGGGTCGACTCTTCCCACGCTGCACACGTTTGTCCGGGTTTTTCAGCACGTTGTTATAACGAGCACCGCAGCATTGGGAACACGAAGAGCCTACACCTCCAGTCGTGCCTCCTCAGAAGGTATTTGGACCCTCCAAACCCACGTCAAACACCTTCTCTGAAGTATACTTGTACCTCCTCATAGGGTCCTGTCCTCGCAACATAAACAATCTATGGGACTGGCCGCCTGGCTACCGATCAGGCCAGGGCTGGTTGATTTCAGGGGTCAGTGTAGACATTAGACATATAGCGCAATTTTTGCTAAGTTTCTTTGTCAAAACATCGTGGTAGGCATCATGTCCCTTTCCCCGACACACCACAGCACAGGACAAAAGGGTTATCAGAAGCACGGTGAAAGCGAGGGTAGCAGCATGTTTTGTTTGTCCAGTTTAGTGATCCATCGAAAAGTCAACTTGAACGATTTGCCAGGCCAACCTTACTCCTGGGTGGAGTAGAGGGTCTAAAATGTGGTACAGTAACCTCTTCTATGTATCTTTTTGCAACTAGATAAGCTTCCGACCTTTAGGTTCGGTGTTTAACGACATACGAGCCAGTATGCCCAGGTCGTTGAAGCACTGCGACAGGCTTTAAGATCCTTGTTGGGCCGCATCCACCACTCAGTCGTCTATTTCAGTGGTCGCATTGGAAGGTGAAGCCATTGAAGACATGAAGCATACCTGCATGGTCAATGTTTGTTCGAAATAATGTCCCCACAAACAAGGTCTTCTTCTGTGAGATGCATGAATTTATAACACTTCTTGAACGCAGAGCACAAGCTGTCTCAAGTCTTCTGGGTCAGTGCGAGAGCCCCCCTAAGGGGTATCCAGCTTGCAGGAGGGTCACAGGGTCACCCATGGTTCTTAGCTTTCTCAAAATGGTCACCCATGTGTTGCTAGAGCCAGAAATGGCCGCGTGCGCATTGGACACCCGATGTGCCGGAGCTCCATCCTCGCCCCTGGTCGTCTCAACCGGAATGAACGCCGATGTTGCAGAAGATCACCCGCCAAACCACCCAGCCCAACACCCGGCCGATCAACCGGCGTTGAACATGCCGCCGCCGACCGGAGCCCAAATGGACCGACGGAAGGTCGCGGGTCGTGACGGAGGATGGCAGGTGACATTGACAGACTAGGTGAGGCCCCCAAATAGGATGGCAGGTGCTTGAGGCTCAGCATGAGGGAAAAAGCATTAAAAAATCGATGAACTCATCAGTGACAATGAGACCTCACACGACTGCGTTTTTTGTTGCGGGACCTTGAGAGTTCCAGACCGCGCTTGGCGCATGAACCAGAAAGAGGTGATCTAGCGGCAATGGATGTTGCGTGGTCAAGGCAAGGGACATGTGCAAACGAGATCTGTTGGAGGTTTCTCACTTTGGAGGGATGTTGCAGTAGAAAAAACACTTCTATATCCTCCTGATCCACGGAATATGTCACCATCAAATACTCACCGTCAAATTCCCAAGCGCTAAGTAACTAAGTGTCAATGAGACTTGTTCCCGATGGCTTCCGAATGGCACCCCTCTTGTAACCAGCGGCGACGCACTACCTCAGGAGAAGCACAAACTATCAGCTGAAGATTTTATTGTTGCACGATGGCACTTTTTGGGGGGTGGCTTCAATTTTAACGTTCCGCTGGCGTACGCAGAGAACGCATTCCGAAGAGACGTTTCAAGGTTTCCGGAGGTTCCTGCCAGCGCGCGTTTCCTGCAAGATGTCGAAGGAAGTGAAGATGCCGGATGCTGCAAGCCCAAAGGTGTGGTATTTCATGATGGGCTGACCAGTAGCAACACTTCGTTGCATATTGGAAGGGGATCCCAGAGCAGTGACGCCGACTGAGGGCTGCGTGTCTTTATGTGTATGGAGCACGCATTTGTTTGCTTCAAGCTTCTGCAATGTGTAAGTAAGGCCCATGTGAGACATGATGAAAGTGCGAAGATACGATGAACGTCAGCTGGATAGTTATTCATGTTTGCATTCATTCAATCAATCTTTCTTTCTTTCAGACAAATGTAGAAATTCAACCATATGGTGGTATGTTTGAAAGATTGTGTGCAATGTATGTACGTTTTGTGTAAATGAAAGAATGTGTAAATGTTGTTCCTATGCTTGCCTGTCAGCAGTAAGTATGTTTGTGGGAGTGTTTGTGTGCATGATGTATGGACGCAGTGCACGCAATGCAACGTATTGATCCGCGATGTCATGTAATGCAACGTGGTGTGCACGAGTGTAGTGTAATGTAGAGCCATGTCGAGTAATGAAACGCACCGCGTTGTTTGCACAGTACCCTACCCGACTGTGATGCAATGTATGTATGTACGTAGGTAGGTGTATGTATGTATGTATGTATGTATGTATGTATGTATGTATGTATGTATGTATGTGTGTGTATGTATGTATGTATGTGTGCATGTATCTACACACGTATGTATGTATGTATGTATGTATGTATGTATGTATGATCCTCCTAACCTGTGGCTCTATGAAATGACTATCATTTGGTGCTAT